CATGTGATCTGATGATATGATATAGCACTGAAAGCAGCAAGCAATCCTTTTAAAACTTAACAGATTTATGTAAGATCCATTTTTGAAGGCTTTGTTGGTGAAAATCCCTCCATGTATACATTTGTAATATGTCCTCACTGATTCCTACAGTTGTATATTTTGTTAATCTGTTCGATTCCATTTGAGATGATAATATTTGTATTTTATTATGGTTTCTATTTATTTTGCCTTCAATGAATTTCTATGTTTCTTTCTGAACTGCATTGATGTTGTTTAAGATGATACTTAGTCTTGGTAGCAGCCAAATTGTCTTTGATTGTGTTGCTTCCAATGACTGGAATCGTGCATTTTGATTGTGATTTGAAGTACTCTTTCAGAATACGAAACACTCTGTGTTATAAAGCAAACAAATATTATCTGTCGAACGAATCTGATCTATCCAGAAGGGATAGATTATCATTTATTTGTTGCTGTTGATTTGAATAAGTAGACAGTTGATGGTGGAATAACTGATTGGTAATATTTGTTTAGTTAATGATGTGTATATTTATATTTATGATGAATATTAGAACCGTTATTTACCCAAATGACTTGTTTTGGATTTCATCTGGGCAAGACATGTATCTAAACCATCTAGACAGTTATTCCTTAGTCCAAACCTCAGTTTGGATCCTACAATATATAAGTCAGAATCAATATCCTCGGTAAGTCAATCATGTTAACCTTACGTTACATACTGAATGATGTAAAAAAAAACTTTTGAACATCGTTTAAAATCAGGAATCACTTGTTTTACCACACTATAAATATCCTTATCATTGCTCATTCACGGCCTCACTAATGACTGAGTTTGACAAATAATTTGAGAATTCCAACAGGTAGAGTTCAGTAGAGTCGAGTTTAAGGACGTTACTTCTCGAAGGTAGTGAAAACTAGTTTAATTTTATAACAAGCTAATCGGAATCAAACATTTAACCATTGTATGCTAAAAGTTAGGCGAACTCCACAAGACCAAAAGTACTGCATACGATCATTGGTAGGCATGGGATTGCAAAGCACCAAAGAGGATAAAAACGCTCAACAAGGCTCTCTAGATTTTAAAGGATGCCTTAGTTATGTTAGTTCGTTATATCAGAACCCGTCAGTCATAATTACAAACTTTAAAAGTATGAATCCTAGCTAGTCTCACATTACAAACATCAACCTGGACTGTATTTATCAGTTGAAATGCACATATAAGGATAGCTAGCTACACAAGAAGAGTAGAAAAACTACTCAATACTATATGATTGTCCAGAGTATACCAAAAATCTACATTTAACGAGTTCTTACTTTTCAACAATTGCTAATACCTGTCTATTTTAATTGTCTACAGCAGTTCTTCTAATCTATCTACTTCATCAACTCCTTTCTTTTTTCAACTAATATTACTATTGTTCTCCCTTTTCTTTCAAGATTATCTAATCGTTTTTCTCTTTTCTCGATTGAGTTTTAATCAATTATATTCGATATATATATATATATATATATATATATATATATATATCCCAATCATCAAGTTCTTATTGTATTGTCACGATCAATAGATAAGTGTCATAATAAAAATATGATCGAAGATATGCAGAGTTTTATCTTTGGTAGATTAAACAATACACAGCAAGTTATTTTTTTTCCGATGAATTGAGTTAAAGAAAATCTTACATAGAAGTGACTTTCTGAAATAAAAGAACAATTTGTAGAGACTAACATGATAGAATGACTTTTTTTGCAGAATTGAACATAAAATAGTTTGAAAAGTAAATGGAAAATCGAAGATCCGCACTGTTCCTTAGTTGAATTTTAAAAATCTATTCAATTGAGATTCTTTTGTAAAGCATAGGTGAATAGCTCAAGTCACTAAATATTTCCCGACCGATTATAACATTTGATTAGAGTTGTAAACGATGTAAAAAAGTGTGATTATTTCACTTATCGGCATAACTTGACTATCGGTGTTATATTCTAATCATAGTGCAACAATGTTTTTTTTTTGAAAAGTCTTTCCAAGAAAAAAAACTTTATTGTATTGGTAGTGTAGTGTGTCGATTAACTGCGTGTTCTTAAGCTCGGTAATTAGCTCGTCCAGACAATCGTTAATAACTAGAGTCTGACGGTTTATAAATCAGAAGGTGAACTCTTAGTGTTGAATATGTTTATTTGGGACACACCACAAAGCGAAGCGGCGAAGCAGTGAATGAAACGAATGAAGTGACTTGAACTGGAGAAGTCTGTGGAGCCAACTCCAAGAAACGGAGCGTGACTAAGAATATATAGTCAGACAGACATGCGATAAGCGAAATAGGCACACATGAATAAAAGCGACGAATAGTTGACAAGTGGAACACGTCATGTGAGCTCATACAAACCAGACAATAACAAGAACGATTGGTACATTTAAATTGTTGCAATACAAATGGCTTGGTTAATTAAATTAATCGAAAGGGCTTAACCAAGTTAGATAGATGTAACCGAACTGGAATATATGTGGAGGCACTACAGTAGCATGAAAAGTATCTGGATTATTTAAGAAGTTGTCTTTTCGAAAACAAAGAAAATAATTAAAACATACTAAAAGAATAGTCTTTCATACGCTGTTATGAATCAACTTCCGTAAAAGTCTTTTTTGAAAAGATTCAAGGCATAGATGTCATGATGAAAGGAACAAGCCACAACGTTTATACTTTCATTGTAAAACTAAATTTTCTCTTGCATACAATACTTGAACTTCTTATGACAAGTAAATTAGTACCAAACAACGCGGTCATCAACTGTGATTTTACTGTTTGAATTCTATGTGATCAGCAGTTGAAAATTTTCAATCTCTTATACTGGAATTTCAAATGAACTATATTCGTGTTAGTTTAGATTGTATAATGTTGGTCATTGCAACGTTCATATGTCATAATTCCCTAGAAAGATTGATACCTAAATGATACTTGTATGTCTCACTGGGATATTTTAGCGAAATGAGGAAGTGTTAGGGAAGTTAGATCTGCAGAACTAACTTGATAAATGTCTTAACTTTGGATTTTATTCATGGGCTGATCAGATGCCCTTGAGATCATATTTTAGTTATTTTAGTGTGCTATTTTTGTGACTCTCCGAATGACGTTTCTATGATGCATAAATATACTCGATTTATGTGCTTGTCAACCTCGATTTTCTGAGTGCTAGTAGAAAACACATTCTACGTTATATCAAGACTTTTCTCTTCAGTTAGTTGGGGCAGCGGATCAAGGTGAACTCGTAATAGTTTCAAGCATATCAAATGAAGAGCATAATAGGAACATACATTCAATAAGAATTTGATTTATATTAATTAATCAGTTATGATACAGTAAATTATGGGATAACATTTTCCAATGTGTTTTGGAAACATAAACAGTAGTATTAATGTATTCGATAAATTAACACAGTATGTAGAGTTACTTTATGCCTTCACAGTAATTTATAATTTGTTAGTCGGGACCTAACGCAACTCATCATACTTTTTATTTCCTTGTTTATATTGCACATTCAGTAACAAAAAATAGAGTTTATAAAGATCAGGGTAATAATCTAACAAGAATAACAGTCCTAATTGTAACGTATGTATCATTTTCAAATCGAACGTAAAAATTTCACAATTACAGTGCCCTAAGTGAGATGACCTTGTATAAGGTATGATTAATTTGTTACTTATTCTTGATTAACCAGCATACCTGCTGCACATGCACGCCACTGCATTTTAGGCAGCACAAGGATTCTCGCAAGAGTCAATATTGCGACCACCCCTGCTCCATACTGGAACGCACATGTTGTTTAGGTTGGTCTGCAGACAAGTGGATGTCCAAAGAGCATGCACACGAGCAGTGGCCCCCGTTCGGGCACTTATGAATCAACAAGATCCCTCCAATCAATCCACTGCCCACAATCCCCAATCGGCAAGGGTGGCAAGGCGGGCCTTCCCAGCTAGACCTGGCACCCCGAACTGATTACCGAGCCACCAAGCATTGCACTAACCATTGACCGTTCCAACCGTCTGGCCTCCAACTGCCTTGCGCTGATACAATTGACCGGAGCCCTCAGACCCCACATGAAGCTGAAGACCGAAATTGTCCCACAAGGTCAGCCGGAACGTACACCCTCCCATGGGGAAGATGTCATGGACTCAACCAATTGCAAGCACTCGGCCAAGCAGGATTAATCCCACTACATAGACCGAGATGCAGAGTGTTTAGGACAACCACATAGGGTCGGAGTCAATAGTCCAGGATCTTTCGGGCTGCTTCCCAAACAAGAGGTCCAGGGCCGCCCTCAGGTATCCTGTAAAGCTATATCCCATTGTTTCAAATATACCTACTCTTGGTGGACGGGATTCAGACTTAGAGGCGTTCAGTCATAATCCCCCCAGGGTGGCAAACCGTATCTACGGCCTTGCGACCATGAACATGTACCATTATTCTGGACCATGCTAGGCACGGTATCTCAAGCGTTCGGAATGACCCTTTTGTTATCAGGGTCTCGTCGGGTTGCACAAAGTGTCACCCTACCGTCGATCCCTGTATGTTTCAGAGATTTAAACCCTTTTGTTATCAGGGTCTTGACGCCAGTTAACACGCCAAACGGAGGTTTAGAATGTTTGGTCGCCTTGTAGACCAGGAACCTTCAGCTGCCTCCTTGAGCAAATCGCTCAAGGTCGCCTTAGGATCACTGGAGCCAAGCCACTTATAAGTTTATTTGTTACTTACATCATAAAAAGTAATTGATTTTTAGTAATTATCTTCTCTCCCACCTCAAAAGTTTACAGTAGTTACTGAATTAAAGTCAAGAAAATCAGTTCAACTCGGAATGGTCACAACTTCGTTATGTACAGATAAATTCGAAAATCATTTTTTTTCGCATTGAAGTTCCGTTTTTGTTTGTAACCGGTACTTGTATAAAAATGAACATTAGAAAATCAATCCATGATAATAACTCACCTTATCTCTAATTGTTTGTCTTAAATTTTCTCTTTGTTCTTCTAAACCCTCAAATCTTTCCCGACGTTTTTCTTCCGCTGCAGTCATTGATGCTGTAAGATCTGTGTCATCGGGTGTTGTTAAAGAGCCAGCATCTTTGGCAACGTCTAAAATTACATTTCAAAACATTGAATTTTAGTTTCATTTTGTAAAAATCTGAATAAATGCATGTTTAGAAAATCGATATTAGTATTTACATAAGTTTGACTACTGATAACAATTTTCAATGGTAGTTGACTAGTAAGGAGTTAGTTGACAGTAATACAGATTCAGAAGTTTCTAGAACAATCGTAGTCAGTAATTAATTTAGTAAGTAATATTACAATCTAAATTCATAAAGGTTTATGACATTTAAAGCTTTTGTTTATTTTTTAAAAAAATTCGGGAAAAAGTTGCTTCAAATTCACATGAATACATAATAATGAGTAATGAAAATCTGAAGTCTTGTTCACTACTGTATTGAGAAACATGAGCGTGAACTCATTTACAAGTAGCTGTAATCTGGTTGAATACAGTGTTTGAAAAGTATATCTAACCATTGAAATGCATAATACTATTACATTCTCTAGGCATTAAATTTGTTTCTAAACTAAACAGGCTATTTATAATTATTCTTCAGAAATATATATATAAAATATGCGGCATTAATTCAAACGATGTCACTTCTCTGTTTAATAGTATTTGACAATAATGAGGTTGAATATTAATAATATTGATTAAAGTATGGTGTAAGATTAGTGGAAAAGTAGAGTTACGTTGTGGTATGCAAGGTATCACTAGTTTAGTAACGGTCGGTATCCAAAGTGTTCTAAAACTTCATAATTTGCTCGTCCAGACAATCGTTACTAAGTAGCGCCTGACGGTTATAAATCAGAAGATGAACACGAAGTGCTGAATACGTTTATTTTTGACACATCAAAAATGGACCAGAAGAACACAAGCACGCAGAGCAAGGCAAGCACACTAGCGAGCGAATGGGCTAATAAAGTGAAGTGTAGCGGAGAAGTCCCTCACATCTGCATCCGATCCACTTTGGTTGTCGATGATGCTGGTATGTAAAGGTGTTAACGTCCTCCAAGGCATCTCCATCAAGAGTGATTTGTTTGGTGCATGTTGTGTTGCATCGGATAATTTCGCTTTTTCCTTTATGTATGTTGATACCTACTGCTGCAGAGGCTGCTGCTACACTGGTTGTCTTCTTTGGCATTTGTTGTTGCGTGTGCGATAGAAGAGTCACGTCATCTGTGAAGTCCAGATCGTCCATCTGCATCCTAGCTGTCCACTGGATACCGTGCGTCCCTCCAGATGTCAACATCTTCATAATCCAGTCGATCACCAGGAGAAAGAGAAAGGGTTAGAGTAAGCCACCTTGCCTGACACCGGTCTTCACCTCGAAAGAGTCTGTTAGCTGTCCTCCGTGCACCATTTTGCCGTTTGATCCATCGCGAGAATTCCGTATGATTTTAACTATCTTCTCAGGCACACCGTAGTATTGAAGCAGGCACTATTTGGTGACGATTGCCTAGACAAGCGAATTACGCGGTTTAAGAACACGTTGGATATCAACTGTCACGAGACTAAGAACAACTTGCACACCACAAGACATCACAAGTGGTTTTCAGTTATTTTGTTCTCACTAAGCACAATCACGTGTTAAGACAGGAGTAGCATTATATTTTCAGTTATAAATATGTCAACTCATTTTTTAAGGCTTTCATATTGTTTGTAAACCTTATCAAAATTTATTATTGAAATGTACATAGCTGACAGCCTGAAAAAAATGAACTTCTATTCAAAGTATTCACAAGAATGCATATATGGTTGAAATCATCAATCAGTCATTGGCAGACCACCGTTAGAAACCTGGAAGCACTGAAAGACCGCCGTTTCATCCTGGTTTAGGACTCATCAGCAGTGTGCATCCACTAATCCTGCACCTCGCTGGACACGAACCTGGGACCTTCGATATTGTGCTCGAACGGTTAACCTGTGGACCACTGGGCCGGCATCCAACAGTGCTAATGTCTAACTCTGACTGATATAGGGATTTTACGCGACCTCACCCGTTTGTGTCTGGTAGTTACTGCCTACATCCGACAGGGTTGAACTCCATTAGTCACGTCTTCTCACTAGAACTCCGAGATATTCCTCACGAAGCTAGTCACTAGTGAGCACATTTTACAATTTTTCAATTCCCATACTAGGACGAAACGGCCGTCATTCAGTGCTTCCAGGTTTCTAATGGTGGTCTAGCAATGATTGATCGATGATTTCAAATGTGTAAAAAACACTAATCTCCATAACTCTAATTTAAAAAGCGTATATAGTTCTCAAGTTAACAGGGCTCTAATTCCATGTTGCATCAATTTCTTCTTATTTGAATAACCCAAGAATAAGAATAGACTGTCATTCTTGAATAAATTTGGCTAATGGATAGTAGAGAAAAATATATGGATCTCTTTTCAGCCCCACTTGATACTCTTCAACTGGAAGTACTTGACTCTTCATTTGCATATTCACATTAAGTTTAAAACGAATATGAAAATTCCTGCCCATATTTTTCAGAAAATTGTTTTCTGCACTAAAATAAATTTGGTAATTCGGTCGCGGTAACTGATAAAATTTTGTCAACAAATGACAAAATTTTAATTCTAAAATAATTAGAAAAATAATTTACAAAAGAAAAAATTTATACTCACTGATTTTATTTACTTGAGATGCAAAGACTTATTTGTAGTGAATTGATTTGTTTTAAAATAGTTGTCTTTAATAAAATCGAGGCGTTTTAAATCGGTAAACAAAAGCTGTTAGCAATAACCAAAGGTTTTAAACACCAAATATGATAGTCTAGGTTATTGTATAATTTTGTAAATTTTTCAAAAATGAAGAGGCATGAAGCATCATAAATTGTTCAGTCAGTCAGTCAGCTTCAACGTAGAACTTCGTACATGAGTACATATGTTCAGGTTGCCATACCGCATCAGCACAGTGATGCTACTGTCAGTTCAAATCCGATTGTGGTAGAGATAGTAGAAGATTTATTAGTAATGGAGAAAATCAGGGTTCGAAGATATTGTGGCGTTAGACTTTCGTTATCTTCGATTTCCCGTAGATCTCCGTCTTGATGATCGCTACTAGAGAACACGAGTCGTTGCCACGATTTCTTTATTATTCAAATTATTTAATGATCGATACAAATATCGGATTTAATTCAAATATGTATAGTCGATATTGACATCGAATTATTCAAATTGTTAATTGATACAGCTAGTCAAATAACTATATGTGTAGGTGGCAAGTAATGTCCAAGCGTACATGCGCATACACGCTCAACAATGATAAAAGTACAAGATATATGTGAGGTGCTACAATATGATTCCAGAAGTACAATTCAGTGAGACAAATTTAGAACCAGAAAGATAGGGATGATGAGAAATTCAGAAGGTTAGAATTTAAGACAACACATTGCGAACACAAAGAACACAAATTGTTGTAAGAACTCAAGTAATATGAAACTAGTTTATAAAAATGATTAGTAAGTGTTTTTATGAATGAATATCTAAATGTTACAATAAGAGATGATTACAGATTTTGAGAAAATTAGTGAGAAATGTCAAGTTAGATTAGGCTTTGAATTCATATATATGTATGTATGTAAGTTTGAAATTTACATTCTATTTTTAAAATTAATCCTTCTGAAGGTATGCTAGTATTACGCTCGTCTCTAGGTATGCTTAAACTATTACGGGTTCACATTAATCGAAAAACGAGTACAACACAATGAACCAGCGTCCAGGTAGGCTGCTCTGATCCCTTGACCAAATTTTATCAGCAAGAAGTCTTGATATACCGTAGAAGGTGTATTCCACAAACACTCAACAGGCACACAATCAATCCAAGCACTCAAATTGCGTCTATTTATACTCTGTAGAGACGTCCTTGGGACAATCACGAGAATATCACACTAAAATAACACAGTAACCAATCACAGCCAAGGATTTTTACTGGTGGGAAATGTAATCTCAAGGTCAGATGATCGGTCTATGAAATGAATCCAAAATAAAGATATTTATCAAGCAAGTTCTGGGGAT